TATATGAAAGTAAATTTAAAGTGATTCTGTTGGTGATACTCTGAGGAGCGAGATGTCAAACTCTGTGACAACAATAAGCAACAAGAAACTCTGGCTAGCTGCCAACAAACCAATGAGGATTGGATATAGGGACATCACATGCTAGTCTAGGTCAGGCCCTCAAGTGGAATCGAAATGCGAAACGATGAAATGGGCGTCCGAGGCAAGGGTGACATTTAGGAGATGGTGTGAAGAAGAAATGAAAGCTTGTAAGCAGTTGTGGAGTCATGTTGAAAAGACTGAAGAGAAGAGAGTGAAATGGTGATGTGCTACTGAAGCCTTATCTTCTACTAGGAATCCGAGGGACAAATAATAATTATTATAATAAAGAACATTCCTTACATCAATGCTAAGACTAGTATTCTCCCATCACTCATCTAACAGTTTGAAGGACAAACTTTCGTATCTGACCACTTCTATATGCATGGATCAATTCATTCGCTCTTATGGAGCAACGTATACACGTCGTTTGATAAGAGGTTTCTACCCAAAAACATTGAAGAGTGTTATCCCACATGGTTACAAGCGCTGGTAACAGTGGATCAATCAGTAGTGTTAAAGTTGAACACAGGTTAACCTATCTCAACAATTTCTCCATTCAAAATCATTCATAGAGTGAAAAGAAATCTTCGATAAGACGCATGACTTTGTATTATCTGCAACGTCAAACCTCTTGATATTCATACGAAGAAACTGGTAGTTTATACACAAAAGAAATTTATTCAACTTCTTCTCACTTTATAAAGTCATAGCAATCATCTCTTTCAATTTACAATGTCCACTTCTTACATAATTTAACGTTTATTTTTGTTTCAATCCTCTTTCTGATCATAATTTCGTTTGAAAATATTTTCTTATGTTATGCAACATCTTAACTCGAAGATTTACAAGCAAAAATTAACAAGTTGACAGAAGAGGCAGCGAAAACGGGACTTTCTTCAGGTGAACGTACAGAAGACAAACGTGATGATGATACCCAACCAACGCCACCACCACCAACAACAACAAGCTCCAATCACCATCAATGGGAGAAACTTGAAGGAGTTAGCCTCTTTCACCTACACCTACCTAGGCAGGCAGCATCGTTTCAACTACATGTGACACAGACACAGACGAGGACGTCAAAGCCGGGATTGAAAAGACAGCAAGATAGGCTTTCATTAACCTGAAACCAGTGTGAAGATCTCCTCCACTGCACTCAGCATAAAGCGTGGACAACATCTCGATTTTCAACACCAATGCCAGTCAAGTTAGTGCTTCTATATGGTTCAGAAACTCGGCGCTTCATGAATAGCATTTCCAATAAACTACAGATATTCATCAACTACTGCCTACGCTGGCTCAATACTGAAGCTGATATGGCCAGAAAGAATAAGCAACAAGAAACTCTGGCTGACGACGAATCAACTAAAAATCTATCGCTCAACAAATATGCACTCGAAGGAAGTGGAGATGGATTGGGGTAGGCATACACTGAGAAGACCATTCGGGGATATCACGAGCCGGGCTAGGCAGTCGAGTGGAACCCAGATGAGAAGCGACGAGTTGGGCGTCCAAGGTAAGGGTGAAATGGAGGAGATGATGTGAGGAAGAAATGAAAGCTTGTTGGCTGTTGTGGCGTCAAGTTTAAAAGATTGCAGAGAACAGAGTGAAATGGAGACATGCTACTGAAGCTCTATGTTCCACTAGGAACCCAAGGGCTAAATAATAATAATAATAATAATAATAATAATAATAATAATAATAATAATAATAATAATAACAATAATGCAAAATCTTACTCAAACTTCATCACAGATTTTTATTTGAATGACAGCTCATTTATCATGGAAAAGAGACTGTTTTCTGAGGTATTTCTTTTCTCTTCAAACTCTTTTATCACACTCTATATGAAGTTTTATCGTTGTATAGAAATGCTGAAAATAATTTCATTATAGAGTTAAGCGAAAACCGTACGATTGATTAGTCTTAAACAGTAATACAAAACAAAAACAAAAGAAAATAATAATAATCGATAATTTTCATTTATTTTTCATAAACTTTAGTGAGTACTACACAGAAAATGATCGCATTCTTTCGGAACATTAATGATATTCTATGAAAAAAAACACGCAACTTGTTCATGACCTTAAAATATCTACCTTCAGATGCTATAAAATAGAGACATATGGATCACATAATAATAATAATCATATGAGTTCTAAAAAAGGACTAATTAGTGAATTTATAGGGTGACCACCTTGTTTCCTTACTAATAAGTATACACAGTTCACAGCAGCACGTTTCCAGTACATTCTCTTCTCTGCGTTCTTTTGAACGTGGCTTCACCACTCCCCACAAGCTTTCATTTCTTCCTCACACGATCTCCTCCATTTCACCCTCGCCTTAGACACCCAACTCGTCGTTTCCCATTTCAGTTCCACTCCGGGGCCTGGCCTCGTGCGTGATCTCCTTAGTCGGCCTTCTCAGTGTATGCCCACCCCACCCCAATCCATCTCCACCTCCTTCCAGTGCATATTTGTTGACTAATAGGTTCTTGCTTCGTTGGTTCGTCACCAGACAGCCACAGTTCCTCCTTGCTTATTCTTATTATTTCTGGCCATCTGATCTCAGCTTCAGTAGCGAGCCAGAGTAGATAGTTGTTGATGAATATCTGTAGTTTGTTGGAAATCCCTTTCGTAACGTGCCAAGTCTCTCAACCATACACGTGCACTGACTTGACTTGACGTTGGTGTTGAAAATTCGCATCTTGTTCCACATGCTGAGTGCAGTGCAGTGCAGATCTCCACACTGGTTTCAGGTTATTTAGTTGTCTCTCCGATCCTGGTTGGCTTTCACGTCCTCGTCTGTGCCTGTGCCGCCTGTAGTTGAAACGATGCTGCCTGCCTAGTTAGGTGTAGGTGAAGGAGGCTACTTCCTTTAGGTTTCTCCCGTTCATGGTGATTGGAGTTTGGTGGTGGTGGTGGTGGTGGCGTTGGTTGGGTATCTTCATCACTTCTATCTTCTCTATATTCACTTGAAGTCCCGTCTTCGCCATTTTGTCTCTTCTGTCAACTTGTTAGTTTTCGCATGTAGATCTTCGAGTTTGTGTGACATTAGACATAAATCATCATTTGCGAAATCCAAATCTTCTTCTAGGATCTTTTACGCGGTCCGGCGTATCTCCCTCCTCTCGTTCATTAATACAGCAGTGAGTAAACCTTGGCATTGGGATAGATTGCAATTCCATTTTAGCCTGCTTAATAGAAATATCACACGTAGTGATGAAACAGCATCATTTATTGGATAACATCGTTTCGGACACAATCTATTGTCCATATTCATATCAGGTAACTACACAACAACTGTGAGACACAGTTTATATAGTCCCAATTCTCTCTCCTTCTCTGTGATGACCAAGGGTAGTAGAATTTTCCATATTATCTGGGACAGGTGCACAATCATTTCTCTTACTGCATGTGTTTGGCGTTGGTGTGTTCAAAGCTATTTCTGTAGTGTTTGTTTATTTATTTATTGTAATTCTAAGAATAATTCTTGATAATCTAGAGTTGATCTTCTAACCGTTATCATCTCGTGATTTTATTGGTTGTTTTTGATGAGGCTATCTACAGCCATCAGAAAAACTTTCTGTGGTTCTAACCTTTGCTCATCCTTTTCTAGTCGACCGATTATTGTTGACAAACAAAAGACAGGCTGCCTAGTTTTACCACTTCTACGTATATTTATCAATCCAGCTGTTCCTGTGGAGAAAGCTATATTTGGCTTACAACTAGGCAGCCTAAAAGAGGCCGACGTTTTTAAACCCACCTCTCAGTAAGGAAAACGTGTTACCGCTGTCACACCCCATTCATCCAGGAGTACAACTTCACCCTTGGACCCCCCATCACAGTGTAGCAGTTTACACCACTGTCCAACAGACCTTTCTGATATAGTAGAACCTCAAGGGGACAAGCATTACAGCCAGTGTATCACATTGGGTCATTGTGATACCAAACCCGATCACCATGTCAAGGTAGCAGCTATCATCAGCCAGGAAGGTACCATCAATGATAGGAAACAACTTCGACTCCATTGATGATGAAATAAGCCAAGAATTCTTCATGCTATGATATGTTTAGTTAACAACTGGTATTAAGAAGTAACCCATGGATCAAAAATAGATAAAAACAGTCAAAATACTCGATTCGATATAGTTCATATGTATCTCACACTGACCTCATGTATACGAAGTAATAGCTGTACAGACTAGTCGGTTAGAAGCAGTATATGTAAAAACTTAGAATCGCTTAGTTACTACTTCATTTTTATCACACAGTATAGTCCACGTCGATGTGCAATACACAAGTAATCGCATCGTTTGTTATCCAACTTGGTATTCATCATGAACTGACATTAGTTGCAGGGACATCGGAAACCTGGGGGAACTGGACAGCTGGTATGGAACTCCTTAGCAGTGCGCAATAATGACCTAGCCAGGGATAGAACCCATGACCTTCATGTTTCACAGTCACCTACTGGTTCAGAATCCAATGGCTTTTATTTCCAACTCCCATCAGTTTACGTTATTATTCAGTCTGCTGTCAACATCCGATAAGCTACTAGCTTAATCATATTTTAAAAAAGCAAAACAACAATACGTTTAAACTTAAATGATAGTTAATGTTGGAAGTATACAAAAAGGTAGTCAGCTGTAACACAACACTGAATCTATGGCTCAGTAGTTTAGAGTGAAGTGTATCAACGACTAGGTCACAGGTTTAAGCCCCGCTCCACCCATCAAGGTTTGGGGAACGAGGTAGCATCTTTAGCTTTTCATACAATAGGTGTGACAACTGTACTCATTGTAAACATCCACTTTAGGATAGTAAATAAAATGAAGATGAGCTATTTCTTTGTAAAAACATTTACAACTGTACAAAACTATAAAAAGTGAATAAACAAAGATTATGAAATTCAATAAATTATGCTTTACAAATATCTTGTAAACCAAGTTTATTCCAACCTAATAAAAAGAGAGAATTATCTCGAAATCCATGAATACTAATCATTTTATCAATATGACCATTTGAATAACGAACTGAAAAAACACCATCCAAATGAATAGGACTAATACCTAGTTTATATAATACAAGACCGATGACAACATCTTCAAAAGGTAATAATTTAGTATATCTTAAACCAATAGATAAAAGTTGTGCAATAGGCATACTGAGTAGAATAGTCCCACCAGATGGATATGGTGGATATACATTATATGGATAATCTGTATAAGAGATAAACCATTTACTAAAAATAATCGTACAGGTATAGGTAGACGAAGTACATCACCAGCTATATAAGTTGGATAATTAGTTTCAGTAATTTGTGATAATGTTGAATATAAATTCGATGGATTCATCATAAAATCATCATCAATTAAAAGGAGATAACGTGTAGTAATACATTGAGTAATAGCAAAATTCAATGTACTTATAAGTTTATATGTAACATTATGATAATTTTCAATAAAATCATATTGTACAATATCATCATATTTTAAGTGTTCTTCTATAACTAACTTTTCTACATTAGAATATTTCCAATGAATAGAATTAGATCGACCAAGAATAAATAATGTTCTACTATGTATACCATAATAACGAAAACAATTTGGATTACCCCATGATTTACGAATATTATCACGTGATTGAAAGTTAGACAATGAAGATTTAACAAAGATAACCAATTCTGGTGATATATTAAATTGATGAAATAATTTACAAGAATATTTTGGATAAAGAATTAAATGAAAATATGTTGGATTAATTGGACTAATTATTAATGTTTTATTCAATGAAGTTTTATATTCATTTTCATATATTGTATATAGGTCAACATCTAAAGGATGTTGAAAATCATTCAGACTTATACCTTGATTAAGATATACTAAATAAGAGAAGAAGAATATAAGAAATATGAATAAGAAGAGAAAAACAATCAAATCAATATATCGTTTATTAAAAAATTGTCTTCTATACATGTCTAGAAGAAAAGAAAAGAAAAAACAAAAGTATATTACAATAATGAATATGATAATAATGAACAATAAAAAGAATGCTGCCTATTCTTGATTGTAGTCGACTGGATCATGTAATAAACAGTGGGGAGCTGTGAGAAGACGGGGGATACGCTAGCTGGATTGCGGGAAAGAACCTAGAAGATCTGGATTTCGTCAGTGATGACCTGTGCCTGATGTCACACAAACTTGAAGATCTACAGACGAAAACTAACAAGTTGACAGAAGAGGCAGGGCAGCGAAGACGAGACTCTAAGTGAATGTAGAAAAGACAGAAGTGATGAAGTTACTGCACCAACAACTCCAACAACAACAAACTCCAATCACCATGAACGGGAGAAACTTAAAGGAAGTAACCTCCTTCACCTATCTAGGAAGCACTGTTTCAACTACAGGCAACACAGGCACAGACGACGATGTCAAAGTCAGAATCGGAAAAGCAAGACAGGTGTTCATTAGCCTGAAACCAGTGTAAAGATCTTCTGCACTCAGCATGCGGAACAAGATGCGGATTTTCAACACCAACGTCAAGTCAGTGCTTCTGTATGGTTCAGAGACTTGGCGCGTTACGAAAGGGATTTCCAATAAACTACAGATATTCATCAACAAGTGTCTACTGATAATTACAGAACCTGAAATCCTGAACAATATTTGTCAGACTAGTACCCTTGTAGTTATTCCAAGAGGATTTGTCGAGGAATGGGACAATTGGTGATTGAGATCAATCAAACGAGATCATATCTGATTCTCATACTCCAATAATTCTCACTCACTCTCCATCATGATGTTCTGCTCTTTCTCGTCTCAGGTTACTTACAACCTTCGGTAAAAGTTGGTGTCTCAATCTTAATGTTCCAGTTAGGATTCGACTAGATAACGAGCAGTCAGATTTGCTGGAGGCCAGTCAAACTAATACTATAAGTGTTTCACCTGTCATTTTAGTCGCGTGATATGCAAAAGAATCGTAGAGCCATTCTTTCCACCTATAGTCTCGCTAACTACTGGTTTTTTCTCCAGAATTGCCTTGATAAGTTTAAATAACTGTCTATGTTACCTGTCACCGCTACCTTTTCCATCTTTCCAGACTTCGGCTACCAACCACTGCTCGCCATCATTGCGTTGGCTTTTTATCGGTCTAAATTTCGTTTTCTTCCCTTCTTCATTGTACTCGGAGCCTTCACGAGTGCGTTTACGTGCATCCGTGATTTCTGGAGAAGCTGTTAAGATCCACTAACCCTTTCTCACATCTTTCCGAAAGGCACTTCCGGTCTTTAACACTATTTTATAGTACACTAGAGATGGCACCAGGATTCTTTCGAATGAATGATTTCATTGTGTTTCGATAATTGATTAGCTAGTTTTCTGCTGAAAAATTCATTGTCGAGATGCACCTCGAATAATCTTGTTGTTATATTTTTCCTACGTTTATTTAGGTGCAGACATAAGGGTGCTCAACCCAAAGCGTGATCACTGTCCAAATGTATCACAGAAGGATCAGCATTCTTCCCTCAACCTTCTTCAGCGTTGGCATAACAATGTAGTCTACCGTCTTACGTTAAGGTCGATGAGCACCATGTCAGACAGTGTCTCTCCCTTTATATCTGGAGTTCGCACCGACGAAAATTATATAGTTGGCCGATAGTGGTTCAGTATTCTTAGGACTTTCATATTTTGTCGTATACGTTTTATCCCCATACTTGATAAGGACCTCAGAAATAACTTCAATAGCAACTTGGTAATTTAAATGCGACACTCTTGGACCGCAAACAAACAGTATGCGTGAAACACTACGGCACAGCAACTCATCCCAGTGCTTAGAGTCCATAAGTAAGACGTTTCAGAGAAGCGTACCAGTTTAGGTTGCCACATCTCACAAGCGCCAGAAAATAGAAGAAATTACACTGAGATAGATAAGGGTGCATGGGATGAAATAACAGATAAATAAAGGCGACAATAAACACCTTTCAGAGTTGATATGACAGACAGACAAATAAAATCAACATAGAACCTCGCACACAAGTTCATCCGTTCAGCTTGCCATACTTTACAGTAGCATGAAACGAACAAATGGATAAAAAAAAACAATGGTAAAGTCGACAAACGAATATAGGAGAAACAATTTGAAGATGATGGCGAGTGAATATTCGCGGCACATCCAAGGGTTCCTGAAAAATACAGTGATGAAGGTATCACAAATAATTTTAATTCACCTTCATCACTGAATTCATACTTATCATGAACCTAGGTTGAGTAGTTACTCAACATATTTTGAGTTGCAAAATTAAATGGCAAGATAGATCGCCCCACCTCAATATGAGTGTTGTAAAACTCAAAACAAGAAATAATTCAGTGGCTCGAGTGGACCGAATAATTCAGGGGACAAAAATGGGTGAAACGCAAAAATGGAACTAACCGGTTCCAATATCCAATATCCAATATTGATAGTGCGAGCGTAGAAAACTAGTAGTTTTTGATCTCTCGCGTCTAGTTGGACACCGCGCTTAGAAACTAGTCAACAACCTTTAGATGACCTCTACCTTATCGTCTTTGTTGGTGCGTCTAAACAACATTGAAACTGAATTATTACGAATAGTGCAAAATAGAATGTGTGAATAGGTTCCAGCTTGGCCGGCTCATACGTTCAAGTTCATTAAACAGTTAGTACCTGAATCCCAATGTCCGGGCGAACAAATAGAACAATCAGCATCAATAATGCAAGCATAGGAATCCGTTGGTTTCTGAACCCTCTCATTCAATCTCTGGAGCTCCAATACTGTTGTTCGGCTTTGCCTCTTCAATGAACAACGAAGTTCTTCTTGCATTCTTGCTTTGGTGTGAAGAGTGTTGTTCGTGAATTCGGCTGACTAAGAAGCTGTGAACTTTTGTGAATATTACGAGTGTTCTTTTGTGTCCTATCTTTATAAGCACCTAAAGCCGAACAGCGTAATTAGGGCCGAGCGATAAATGAAACTTTTCATATAAATGAAATTAGATAAGACTAATTTTTTTAGCAGCTGAGGTTTAGAAAACTGAGTATAAAACAAGCTAGAACATAGATTGAGTGAAGACATCAGTGGGACATTCGAGGGTTAGACTGGGTAGTTATCGAGTTTAGTAGTACCCTTAGTACATCTCTGGTAAGCTATATGAAGTGATACAATTGTTCAACCCACTTTTTCTGCAGGCTATGGAAATTAGTTTCCAAAAACCCTTAAACTACAATGAACGTTTTTCCCACTGGATCGGTTGTCCTGTATATTGCCATAATATCTGAGAGATTGATTCCTAAGCTGTGGATCTAAGGACCATCTCCAATGTCATCGTGTGTTGTTCTCATGAGAACCTACCGCGGCTTGCACCTCCAGTGTTCTGTTTCGTTTGCAGCCACTGACGATCGACTCTGATGGGTTGCTTTTGGAAATTTTAGGGAAAACATTACTCCTTTCTAAACATCGGCAATCTGCCTGGCGGCTTTACTCTACAGGCTCCAACATCGTTGCTGAGACTAAGTTTGAAGTATAAAGGACCAAAATCACTGTCTCCGAAAAACCATGTTACTGAAAATACCTAACTGACTACAGACTTTTCTACTGAAATTTTTGTTACGCTTTCTGCATAAGTCAGGTTTTACACTTAATAACTGTTCCTAGCCTATCTGACTGGGTGAGCTGTGATGAGATTCTCCATCCAAGCGTGCTGTAAGGCACATTTTCCAGTGGAAGACTAATTTCAAAAGAAGCCTGCCAGTAGCCACTTGGTGCACTGTTCTGATAGGATACCATCATAGCAACTACTATATTGTTTTTATATTTGGTTTCTTAGCTTGATTTACCTGTATTCTCATTGTGGGCAAATCCTTGAGCTTAGGAAATTGCCCCGGTTATCAGTGAAATGAAATTGTCCACCGTGGGTCTAATATTGCCACCCCACTCACAACAGCCGAATACAGCGTGGAGAAACGAATGTTGTTCGAACGGAAACTTTATAACTGTCAAGACCTGGGATTAGTTGAGAAAGCGAACAAGAATGTGCCATACTTACCAGCCGGGCAAAACTCCTGGCCTACCTGACGCGGTAAAAAACGTTTACCATATTTTTGTGTGGGATTCGAAAAAGTCAAATGTTCAGCCCTCATTTGTAACATTCAGTAAGGCTATTAATCTCTGGCGACAAATGGCACAAGGTTGAATGTAATCCATAGTTCTGCACTCACTAAAGAACGGTAAACAACAAACCACACGTATGCGTTCGTGTACAGGCTACTCATCACCGATGATAAGATAAACATGACAAACACAATGACAAAATCGTTGGCTTCGAGTTATATTTTTCTCCGGGTAACCCTTGTAATACTAGAATGCAAGCCCTGGTCCTATTGTAAACGCAAGGCAATAATTACAGTTTTCCATAGCATCGATTCGTGCATATTTATTCTGTTGACAACCTACATTTTATTAACAAGCAATACAAACATTCAGGTAATTAAAATTACCTCCCCTTAATCAGCATGTACCTTACAAGTAACTTTGTCCATAACTGTGAAAGTGGTATGTGCCTGTATAATCATATATGTATATACGCATATATATATATATATATATATATATATATATGAATTATTTAATGCCACACACCATTTTGTAAACCTTCACGAATTATCAACTTGACGCTGCCTGTAAGCTGATGTCTCCCATGTTAAGTCCATTGCACGAGAATAAAAAATGTTTTTGTCATTATCATACACATAATTACTCCAACAGTTCTGACCCAGTAGTCCATAGTACAAAACCGTATGAAGAGCTCTGCAGCATCCTTAAAGAGGTGAAACAACGTCGATCATCAAGCAATCGTGCCTGTCGATCACCTTCAAGATGTGCCAGAAATCGTTGTTTGGGATGGGAATCAAGAAGTCTGCGACCTGGAGTTTGCTGCTTTCATAGACGCCGCCGCTCAAGTACAGAAAG